CAACCTTAATAACAAATTTGACTACCATACTACCATACAACCAAAGTACTTCCGTTCCATTGAAATTTTTTAAACCTAAGAAGCATTCAACGTTCGACTGCAGTTCTCCATACTAAAATCCAAGAAGCACTAATGCTTTAATAACAAATCGAAGCTCGTATCAAGCGAATTCGACAACTATACAACCAAGGGAATTCCGCCCGCTTGAAGTTCTACATACTCAAAACCCAAGAAGCACCAATGCTTTAAAAACAAATCGAAGCTCGTATTAAGCGAATTCGACAACTATACAACCAAGGGACTTCCGCCCGCTTGAAGTTCTACCTACTCAAACCCAAGCAGCACCAATGCTTTAAAAACAAATCGAAGCTCGTATCAAGCGAATTCGACAAATACACAACCAAGGGACTTCCATTCGATTGAAGTTCTACATACTCAGACCCAAGAAGCATCAACGCTTTAGACGGATAAATTAAATTCCATAATTTCCGAAGAAAATGCCGTTCAAGATGACGTACATGAGGAACTCTGGAAGAAAATCGAGAACCACAACTATATATCGAATTCCTTACAGCCGCTATTGTGTTACATACACTAATATTTCAATAGGTCCTATAGAAAAAGATCTACTACCATCTCTGCCTTGGCCCAACAACATCGCCGAATCACGCAGAGATCGAACTATAGAGACTAGCGTCAGTCAGGAACGAAAATCCTCGTGAGTTAAGATGAGAGTCACCAGTATGTTCAGATTTGAACATTTTTCTTTATATTTACCAATTAAATTAACATCCTGTATATGAAATTAATTATTTATTGAATAAAAATGTTTAATTTTATATGCAATTAATAATAAACACGTTCCAATTTCGTATCTAGTTCGATGTGTAAATTATAATAATAAAAATGCTGACTTATTTCAAAATTATTTTCAAAACATTGAACTAGAGAGACTGAAATTGGAATAAAAATATTTTTACTAATGTACATTTAAATAATTAAATAATATTAATTGTTATTGTATATTGTTTATTCTGTGATAATATAAATGTAAATGCAAAACGAAAAATAAAGAGATTGACTTTCAACATGTGGTAGTATACTTTACAAAAGTATCTCTGAAATGAGATTCATGAAAACCATCTTGTGGTATTTATTACAACAATTAAACTTTGAAATCTATTTACCCGAGTAAATGGAGTCCATGGTGCTTTGGCGCGGTAGATTGGTTTTTCGCCAATATATAAAAAACAAACGACACAAGTATGGCGTCAAGTTATATGTTCTCACGGAACCAGATGGCATTATTCAAAAGTTTGCGGTCTACACTGGGACTTTGGATGATTTCGGAGGCAACGTGCTGCCAACGTAGTACTACATTTAATGGACAAAAAAGTGGGATGTAAGACATTCCTTATATATGGACAACTACTATAATAGTTTTGAGCTGGCTTTTCAATTGCTGACTAGAAAGACTTATTGTACTGGTACAATAAGAGTTGATAGAAAATGCAACCCTAAAGAGGTAAAAGAGACAAAATTGAAAAAGGCGAAACTATTGCCCGCTATTGAAACGGAGTGATGATTGCAAAGTGGAGAGACAAAAGGGATGTTTTTTATATCTCGACAGAGTTTACGAATAATTTGAGAGGCAACAGGAAATAAGCAAGCCAGAAGCTATTATCCAGTATAACCGTTTTATGCGAGGAATTGACAGGAAAGATCAGATGATATCGTACTACCCTTGTGAAAGAAAAACTTTGCGGTGGTACAAACAAATTGGAATTCACATATTATACATGAGCCTTATAAATTCTTTTTTTATGTACAAAAAATATGTGCGCCCAAAGATTTCTCTTTATGATTATCGATTAGAAGTTCTTAAAAAATTTTTACCTGAAAAGGAGGGTCCTTGCGTTTAAAGGCAAATGGCAGCATTGCATTGTCCGAAAAAAAAATACTGAATCAGAAAAGGGCAAAAGAGTTGCACGTTGAAGATGCATTGTTTGCTATAAAAATGGCATAAGGAAGGAAACAAGGTACCACTGCTCTGTCTGTCCAGAAAAGCCAGTTCTTTGCACAGAACCCTGCTTTTCTGAATATCATAGAAATAAATAAACAATATTTTTTTTATATTTTGATATTTTTTCGCTATAGTTTGAGTTTGGGTTTTTGATAGTTTATAAGGTTTTGTTTTTGTTTTTAGTAAATAATATGTTTTGCTAATGTATTTCAATATTTCATAAATGTTTATTTTTTTATATTTTGATATTTTTTCGCTTTAGTGTTGATTTGGTTTTTACGTAGTTTATAAGGTTTTGTTTTTGTTCTTAGTAAATAATATGATTTGCTTATTTTTTTCAATATTTCATAATAAATGTTTTTTTAGAATTTTTGGTAAAATATATATTTTCATATTTTCTTTGAATTGAATGTTTATGTTAACAATATTTTTTTTTTCAATATTTACATTATTTTACCACATTTCTAAAGTGAATATTTACATGACGCCATTTGGCGTCATCAGCCTCTGACATGCATTTGTATTATGGGAGGCTGATGACGCCAAATGGCGTGATGGCCCTTTTGGCGTCATTGTTAATATTTTTTAATTATAAATGTTACTTTCATGCTAGTATTAGCCTCGAGCCTTATTATTTTCCAAAAAACCTTTTCAGCCTTTTCAGCCAACGTGTTAAATTTGTCTATTACAGATTGCAAATCAATATTAGACGCACTCAGTAATCCTACGTTTATCAGACATGGTCGATCTATTTTAAGTTTTAATATTTCTTAGTCTATTAAAAGGTCTTTCGCTTGATAGAGTGTTTGTAGAAATTGTTGAAAAAATTTGGTCTATTTTGTATAAATTAGGAAAAACTGATTCCATTTTTTTTTTAAATTTAGAAAGCGTATATTTTTTCAGTTTTTATTTTATATTATATTTTTATTTCATTTAATAGGCTACAATACGAGTTGTATTTACTAACTATTTCTGGATGGATGGATGGAAGAATTATAAATAATACATAAATCATACAAAGATTTGTTATTCTTTTCAGAAACAGCGATATTTTCCGCCTCTAATCATGAAAACTTGTGTGCGATTAGAAAAGAGTCATCAAATCTCTGTGTTAAGATACCATTTGGGAACGCGCAACAGTGGAAAATGACAGGCATCAAATTCTACGCTGCAAATTATACCGTACTAAAACTGGTGTCGTCTGTCTCGCCTTCCCAAATGTGTTTAATATAATTACATGTGTTCAGACGTAAAGAGACCGTTTTCGGCCTCCTTCGGTGTCGCAAAGGCGTTTCAAATCGGTATCGGTCTTGCCTTGCCAAATGGCAGATTTTATGTTCGAATAAATGTATCCAGTACAAAAAAATATTAAGAAATTTAAAAATTTTGCCTAAGGCAATTTTCAATGTGCCCAGAGATGTTTTTATCGTGAAAAAGTTTGAACTTTTTTGATATTTTTCTTGTGAACTCATTGGGCAAGTCATACTTACTTGAAATTTATTTAACCTTTTCTTCAAAGCTGTTGAACGATTTATCATTTCCCAATGATATAAAGTCATTTAAGGTTGAATTAATTAAGGAAACTGCTACTGATATATTTATATGGAATTTTTGTAAATAATTAGATAGAATTTAAGTAACTAAGAATTTTTGTTTCCAAAAGCAAAGAAGGTATACAAATTCAAACGATTTTATATATGTTGAAATTCCATGAGAATAAATCATTTGACTCGCATTTATTGGTACTTTAAATTTCACCAGATGAGATGCTTTCCATAAAATCTTATAGCGGGGAAGTTGTCAAATATCGAATTAACAGATCTAGTGTAACTTGCCCAACGAGTCGTTGACAGATTGGCAGATCTAAACAAAAAATACTTTTTGGCATCGGTAATCGGTAACACAATTAACACTAGCCCACCCGACTCAAAGGCTGCCAAAGCTGCGTCGCGCATTGCTTTTGAAAATATCATTCGTTATTTTACTTTAACTTTGGACTAAATAAATAAACAAATAATATTTTCTTTTAAAATAATATTTGAAACATTTCAAACAAATTACCGTGTTTTTTTTTTTTTGAAAATATCTTCAGAAATATTTTTCAATTTCAAGAAATGTTACAGGGTGTAATAAAAGTAACTATTGATTGTCTATCTAGGCACCAAGCGCCACCTGGCTACATCACTGTATTATCCCTAAAGTGTTACTTTACTACTTTACGGCCGCTTTAAAGTGTCAACTTTTTGACCATATTTACTTTACGGATGCTTTTTATGACCACAGGTTTATGATACTTAAAATTGTATAAATTTTATTAGTTAACAATGGATTTTTATTCAATTAATAAAACTTTAAAACAATTTTTGCATTTGGCCTATTTTCAAAAAGAGAATGTGAAAAAATATTTTCTCTACTAAAAAATGTTGTGTACACCTCAGCCGTATGATCTTTTAGGCCTAACCAGAAGTTGCTTGGCCTCGGCCGCAAATTTCTGATTAGGCCAAAAAAGATCAACTGTAGAACCTTGGTACACAAATAACTATTTTCCACAAAAAATAATTTTTTATGCTTACCCATTGCTAATTAAAATACGTTTTAAATCACATTGCTTTATTCGTAATTTTATACAAGTTACACACTTACACATTACATATACCGGAAAAGTAACATGTAGGTACAATATTTCTATTAAATCTTTGCTGTTTTGCATAATTGTAATCAATTGCATTTAAAAAATATTTTTCAACAATTCCATAATTATTTTTTTGTTTTTATAATTTTTTGTTTGAACTAATGTTAAAATTTTTATTCTAATAATCTAGAAAAGTTAACAGTCCAGATTTTAATTCAGTCTATATTAGCTGACGCCTCATCAATCATCGTGATTTTATCTTCATATTGTAATATATACAAATTTCGTCAATATTTCAGTTTCAGGTTTTTCTATTAAATAAAGCCTTATGATTTACATGCCCTGTCAAAGATTGATGCAAATTTGCTCATTTCCCATACCCAATAAATTTACAGATGTTTCCTGAACTATCAGTGGTTGCAATCTGCGATTTATCGATTTTTCTTTTCTGCTCATCATCGATTGGTTCCTCTTCATCGAAACCAATGACATTGACGTTCTTTGGTTCGGGTAACTATGAGACATGGATCTGTTGAGCTTTTTGCACAGCAAGTACCTGTAACATATAACATAATAAAATTAAACATATTTTCCTGGTCTTATATTAAAATATATCGCAGTACAATTCGATTTGAATTTCGAAAGTAATTAAATTAAAGTACAATTCGATGTACTTTTTATCCGGTACACGTACCTAAACTGTTCTACCACAATTGTAGAGAGTGACTCACATTTTTAACATAGACCTTTGCGGGTCTGAGGGGATAATAGAAAATCGACGAGTCATAGGCGTGCGGTTATTATTAAAAATGATCTTCCGCATTTTAGAACAAATTGGTTGTCAAAAAAATTGTTTTCCTATATTAAAGATACATAAGGTTAGGAAAACCGGTAATAATAATTATCGAATAAGTATATATAAATTTAAATGTACATACGAGCCTTGTCTCAGTAAAGTTGGCTTAACTGCCAAAACCAAGTTTTTAAAGAAATTTGATAACATATGATATATTTGGGTGGCACAAAATTGATCGAAAACATTTGATCGAATACATTTGATCGAAAACATTTGATCGAATGCATTTGATCGAAAAAACATTTTATCGAATAACATTTGATCGAAAAGAAAAATGATCGAATAGAAAAATGATCGAAAAGAATAATGATCAAAAAGAAAATTGATCGAAAATAGATTTGATAGAAAAAGCAATTAATAGAAATACCTAATATTCATAAAATTATAGACAAATAAGAAAAATGAAAACAAAATGTTTAACTAATTTACCTAACCTGTGCGGTCTAGAATCATCGCTGGTGCTTCACAAAAACAAAAAATTAAAAATAAAATAAACTTAAGTAACGTATCTAACTTGTGCGAGAGCACCCAGTTAAATTTGAATAGCACAGGTTAGGTAAATTAGTTCTTTATTTTTATATTTTTTTTTTGCGAGGCAAACCGCGACGTTTCCAGACTCGAGCAATTTAACTGATTGCTCATATATAGGTTAGGTAAGTTAGTTAAGTTTTTTAAAAATAAATAAAAATAAAGAAAACTTAACTAATTTACCTAACCTGTGTGGCCTGGAGCAATTTAACTGATTGCTCTGGCAGAGTTTTTTAAAAAACCTAACTAACTTATCTAACCTCTGTTAGAGCAATCAGTTAAATTGCTCCAGGCCGTACATGTTAGGTAAATAAGTTATAGTTTTTGTTTTTAGTTTCCTATAATTTTTTTGCAAGGATAACCGATTAGGATCCAGGCCGCACAGGTTAGGTAAATTATTTAAATTTTTCATAATAAAAAAAACTAAACTAACTTACCTAACATACGCGAGACCAATTAGTTAAATTTAAATAGCGCAAGTTAGGTAAATTAGTTAAATTTTTTATTTTTTCCTTTTTTGTATAATTTTTTTTTGCGAAGCAACCTTCGTAGGCTCCAGGCCGCACAGGTTAGGTAAATTAGTTAAAATTTTTGTTTGAATTTTTCTTAATTTTCTATATTTTTTTTGCGAGGCATACCGCGACGGTTCCAGGTCGCACAGGTTAAGTAAATTAATTTAATTTTTTATATAAAAAAAAAACTTAAAATAATTTACCTAAAATGTCCCATCGGGAGACAACACGACCTTATTGAAATACATATTTTGTGCGAATTAATCACATTTCTTTAATCCCAATGAAAATAAATAACCGTTTAGCTCCAAAATAATTATTTTTAAATTAACAGTATTGTGAAGATAAACTTTGTTAAACGAGGTAGCTATCATTTGAGATTATTGAAAAATTTGCCATTGGTACTTAATTTTTATAGCCGCTTAGTTTAGTTTCCCTGGTAGTAGGGATTAGACGGACGGTTGATGGTATCGTTTGATTTTTTGATATTTTTCTATTTTTAATGTTGATTTATAATATATTGTCCTTTCGATCTAATGAATTTTCAGAAATGAATGTGACGTATTTAAAGTGTGTAGGTAGTTTTATTAATATTAATAAAACTCAGTAAAAGTAGTCTTAGCGCTTTCAGCCGATTAGGCCATCATCAGAGACTTTGTCGGTAAATATAGAAGGTACATGAAAATTAATTATTTAAAATTTTATTTATTACCGACAAAGTCTCTGATGATGGCCTAATCGGCTGAAAGCGCTAAGACTACTTTTACTGAGTTTTATTAATATTAATAAAACTACCTACACACTTTAAATACGTCACATTCATTTCTTATTACCCAGTGTGTACACACCACTCAACCTCTTCAATTCTTTAATGAATTTTCGATCTATTGTCTTTTCGATAAAATGTTATTCGATAAAATATATCTTCGATCAAATATTATTCGATCAAATGTATTTTCGATCAAATGCCATTCGATAAAATGTATTTTCGATCAAATTTCCAATTCGATCAAATGTTTTTCGATCAATTTTGTGCCACCCGATATATTTATTTAATTTTAGCCTAAAATACAATTACAGATAAATCAGATAAATTAAAAAAACTGTATATTAAAAAAAAATTACGAAACAAAATAACAGCAACTTACCACTACGTTACATCGCCTTTTTGACTGATTACTGATTTGATACACCTTGACATAGTGTCATTTAATGTTTGGCAGTCATTTGCTGTAAAACTGTTCCAAATTTCGTGAAGACGGTTTCGCAATTCTAGAACGGTTCTTGCGGGATTTGATTTAAGCTTTTTAAGCTATTGCATTGCTTTTATCGCGGGCTTTGAGTGGCGACCGAATCAAGAAATTTCGTAACACCGTAACGAAAAAAACCTAACACCTCGACTCTGACCGGCGTATGCGTGTAGACTAGCTGCTAACTGCTCATAACTAATTCTATCCCTTTTAGACCCAATGCTAGGTGAAACAGCGTGCTTTTGGCCGCGTCCACGAGTGAGTTCGAGCCCACTGGAGTTGTACAGTATATTTTTTCTAAGAAAAGTCGAAAAAATTGAAAAATCGGCAGATTTCAGCACGGTGTTTGTGTGCGTGCGATTAGACGTATGCGTGTAGACTAGCTGCTAACTGCTTATAACTGATTGTATCTCTATTAGACACGATTTCTGAAAAATTGAATTTGAAAATGAATAATAGTCCACAACAAAATATGGGACCACCATTGACGCGGTATTTTCCAGATATTTAGAGGATATCAATTATCAAACTTATGTTTCTTATTTCAGTTACCATAAACCTATAGTTTTAATGATAAAAAATCCTGAATAACCTAAATGTATTGTAAGATAATAAAAATATTTTAAACAATATTAACTTCTCATTTATTCAATGAAAGAAAAAAAAATGTTTTCTTGTCGGTCACCACGCTTAAAAAGTGTAACTTGAAATAATATCAAAGAAAAAACTTGAATTAATATCAAAGAAAAAAAAAATTCTACATAAATAAAATGGATAAATAATTATAATTGCATAAGTTGATAAAAAATGCTATGCAATAGCTTTACCGCGGCAGTCCCCGAATGCCATACGTATATTTTTTCCTGATATGCTACAACGTTTTAATAGGCGATAGATCTGGGCTACAAGACGTCCATTTTAAAAGTGGAAAATTGTTTTCTAATATCCAATCTTTTACTTTTTTTAGCCGTGTGACAAGCGGCATCATCTTGCTGGAAGATACATTCTATATTATTTAAACCCATTTTTTCAATTTGGGATTTTAAGTTATTTTGAAGCCCATTGACGTACTTATCAGTATTCATATTTCCTTTCACAAAGTGTAAGTTTCCCACTCCTTTAGCTGACATGGCTCCCTAAATCATAACAGAAGCCGGAAACTTAACTTTCTAAGACAGTCATTTTGAAACACTTCTTCTTTTGTTCTTAGGACACGACTCCTACAGTTAACAATTCATACTTTAAATCTGGCTTCATCATTCCAAATAATAGAGTTCTGTTGGTGTGGAGACTATAACTGATGTTCCTTTGCCCACGCTAGTCTATTTTTCTTCTGAAACTTTGTCAGCAAAGTTCTCTTTTGCCTATGAATTATTGAATTAAAAACAAACAAAAAGCAAAAATTATTCAAGCATATCCAGTTGAATTATCACTTTCCTTATTTCGTCAGAAATAACTTTAACACCAGCTATTTTTAGTTGTTAACAAAAACAACAATGTACGAAAGTTAATTAAAACTTCTAAATCGGCTTCTTAGCCAAGGCAAATATTATCATTTGTTTTACAAAGCCTGTCTTGATTTTATTGAAGCCGATAAACCGACTATTTAATTTATTTAAGTTGTCTTCATCATGTATTTTGCCAAACACAAATAATTTTACAAATAAAACAATTTTGAAACAAAAACTCTTTAAAAATAGCCACGCTGGTCTTAATATATTTCCATAAACATTCAAACAAACCAAAAATATTATATTTTTAACAAAATTTTAAGTTGCCCTGACATAAATTCACATTGTGGGGTTGGGCCACCTTCACTGAGACAGGGCTCATATATTTTTTATATATCCCTGTTATAAACTGTAATAGTCTTTTGAGATGATAGTAATAGTAATAATAGTTCAACTTCTAATACATATTTGACATATTTATCTTTAGGACACCGTGCTAGGTTTAGTAACTCGATTTTTGACATGGGTTCATTGAATTTTATATTTTTCTTAGTAAGCCAATCTGCAATCTGGGCTTTTCTCCATTTGGTGGTTGGTAACTGTTTTACATGATGGCTATGGTATGGAGCGTTATTCATAACAATAAAAGAATATCTGAAAACAATTCCGGTCTCTGCTGATGAAATTCCTATTAGCGCGCCTATGACACCGCTTCAACGATAATATCCAAGTAAGATTCAAATGCGTTGTTGCCAATAACGTCGCTTTAATCTGCGACGACAGTGTGGATCTCGGACATTATCTACCGTTAAATAAAGATGCTAACTACACGCTGGCAACGTTCCATTTTACCAATCGCTTGGAAGACGTTTGAACAGTTTAAAAATAGACTAGTCAAATTATTAAAATTATTTTAACAGAATGATATCTGTTCTGGAGGTAAATAATAAACAAATGAATTATTTATTCAAAAAATTTATAAAGATATCGATCTTCTTAATTTTTTTGAAACTATCTGTACGTATAGTCTTTGAAGAGTGAGTAGAAGAAAAAATGTTTTAGTAGAAGGAGGTTTTTGTAAATTTGTAAGAGATTAAATAAATTTTGCCATACCCCACTAAATTGTTTAAGAGGGTTCTATACCCATCAGCTCCGTCAATTTCATACATAACCTCAAAATCCTCGTCCCTTACGTCTTCGCCATAACCCCCCCTTTTAAAGAAATTGTTAGGCAGCCTGATATACATTTCTGTGCATTTGTGGTTGCATAGTCTACCAATTCTCGTATAAGAACATCTAGACGTACCATTTTCGGCCGTTGATGACTAACAAAATTAGATTTCTATATATAATCGGTTTTTATTTAATAAGTTTAACACGGTTTCTAGTTTTTTGAGCTTATTTTAATTATAATTACTTTTTATGAACACTTTATTCTATAGCCTTCACACATTCATAAATAGAAAAGCGTATAAATATATGTAGGTAAATATATTATTTGTTTTAGTTTTTATTTTGGAAATTTAAGAGATACTGTATTGAACAGTCTTCGTCCAATGATAACTTAATTATGCGGCCTCAAACGCTCAATATATATAATCGTACAAGTTTAAGACTTGTACAACACAAAACGTGACGTAATCTAACCAATCTTTTGCTGTTTTTTTTATTTGTACTCGACCCATAATAAAAACTACTTCTTTGTCGATTTACTAAAGTCACAGTGATTATTCTCACACAATTAGATATTCCAAAGACCTGTCATACAATAGTTGTCAGTTGGAAGGGCTCATAAATCTAAGGGGATTGCGACATAGCCTTTAATCTTGGACGCTATTTCTATTTGAAATAGTAATCGCCAAGCCTGCCAATTTATAGAAAATGCATAAACGGTTTCTATAAAAATAATATTTTCATTGTGCTTGACATACAATATTTAAATTTAATTCATTAATTTTGATTTCACGTATTGTAAATAGACTACATCGTATGTCGCAACCCTTTAGAGATTCCAAACCTTAGAACCGCGCTTCATTTGTTTGGAATGCCTAATTAGGCATTCCAACGACCTGTCAAACAATAGGTGCCAGTGGGAAATTCTTGTATATTTAAGGGGGGTAGCGACATAGTCTTGCAACTTGGACGCTATTTTTATTCGAAGTAGTACTCGCCAAGCCTGCCAATTTATGAAGAAATGTATAGGTAGGTTTTTTTAAATATTATTTTTATTGTGTTTGACATAAAATATTTAAATGTAATCCATTATTCATGATTTTACGTAAAGTAGACAGAATACACCATATGTCGCCACCCTTAGATATACCAAATCTGCCCACTGGTAATTCATTTGTTTGGAATGCCTAATTTACTAATAAACATGTATTTGTTATTTGATTCGCATTCGCAATGACATTGACAACCACAGACAGATCACTTATTTTGATGACAACACATAAAATTACAACGTTGCCAAGGGTGGCATTCTTTCCTTTTATTTGCACATTACAGAATAGACAATTATTTGTTTATAAATGCGGTTTTAAACTTGGGTTTCATAATGAGCTCAAAGCCTTTTATAAAACGCCATTAGCGCCCTTGATTTTTGCTATAGGAATGTCTTTTTCTCCACTATTTAAGCAAAATCGGTACCTATTAATTTTTTCCGACTGTAAAGATTTTCGGAGCTGAACTTAGGATAATTTTTTTAGAAAGTGTGTTATGTTATAATTTCAGACCAAAATCAACAAGCTCGTTTCATAATTTCGCGCTCGGATTTTGTATTTATTCTGTAACACTACCTATTTTATAGCAATTTTATGCCCACCCTATTAATTTTTCTGTGAATTTTGTTTTATTTCGTAATAGAAACAACTTTCATTAGGAATAAATTTTTTGTAGAAATGTATTTTAAAAACGGACTATTTCCAACGCTAGTATGAGCTTTGTATGTGGATTCACAAACTATCTGTAGAGACGGCAACACCGAACCTAAAAGCTCGAACTGAATTCAAAATTCGCCAAATATACACAATATTTATTGTTTGCCCACAATACACATACTAGCCACTAACGATATACTGACTTTCGATTCAAATTTCGTCCAAACCGCGCAGTGACGTAATTCGGGACGAACTTTCAAGTTATTTTGACACTTTTTGATTGAATAGTGTAAAATAATTTAATAATTTATTTGTTTTTGTGTTAGTAGTGACTATATTTTCTTATATATAATAGGGAAGAACTGAATTAATATTTAAATGGCCGGGCTGCGCGGTGGAGACTTGCAAAATCCATAATGCGAAATTCAAAAATAGTGTAATGTAAGATATTTTCGAATGCCACAAAATGTGGATAAATTCTTATCATAGAAAGGACAAACTTAATTTAAACAATAATGGTTAGTAAAATGCACAAGTGTAATAGGTTTAGAGACAGTGAAAAGTTGCTAAAATATTATTTTAGCATGAAGTTGCCCTATTTACTTTGAGGAAAGTAGTAAACATAAACGCAAGAGAAGAAAACTGAATTCCACCAGGTGCATGGGGCTTTATTAAGCAAAGAAAATAGGTATTTTAAAATTTTAGCAAATAAAGCAGTAGTTTCCTGTCCCAATACAACGGTCCCTTTTCAAGAAATACTATGCAAGAGCAGGACAGGAACATATATAAGAATAAGATACATGAATAGAAAAATTAGTTTTGAATATTTTCAAAGTAAACTTGGCAAAAAAATGTTTAAATTTCCCAAATAAAAAATTATTTTTTGTGTACTTGCTTTTTATAAAAAAATTATTTGTTTCTGCGTACTAAGAAAATAAATTTAAAAGGAACTACCACTCCTAGAAAGTACAAATTTCAGTCAAACTTATATTTTTAGTCCATATTTTATCTTATCCAGGTTATGGATTTTGTCACAACATACGTAAAATTTATGAAAAAAATTAATATTTTTATTAGTATTATTTACCTTCATATTTGTAAACGAATATATTACTAAATAACCAATAAAGCTTAAGTAACTGCACAAAATCTAAAACCGGCGATATATCGAATTTCAAACACTATTTCCCATTTAATACTAACAATTCTGTCCCACGTGACGTCACCGTCAGTCAGCTGCATGCGCAGGAACACACCGTTATTCTGTGTATCGTGTTGTTTGCAATTTTATACATCGATCGGAAAGTAACTCTGCAATATTTATTGGTTTAGGCAACTGAACATACTTTTCGCGACTGGTACGCCATCTGGCATAGAAAATATTGATTATCATGGTATCCAAACGTAAAAGAAGACCGTTGGGGGCAGCACCTTCCGGTGACCTCTGAAATTTTTATGCAATGTTCAATTTTAGAAAAAACTACTTACTTTTTTCAAAAATGGTAAATACACAAGTTGTTCAGTGGCAAATGAAGAATGGCGGATGATAACATTTATACGTATATGACTTGTTTTATATTTTTTTCATTTTATTTTTTTTGTTTATAAAAAAAAGTTATCATGCGCCAATCTACAATGCATAAGAAGCACGGATACAAAAAAGATATTTTTTTTGGTGAGTATTAAGCCCGCAATTTGAACATTAACATTTCCAATATAGCGGACGGGTATAGAACCCTCTTAATAATTAATACTGAATATTTTTCCTTTTGTCCGTATTCAAAATATCAACAACTATTAAACATAACTTTTTTTGTACAGGATAAACGTCTAATTTGATTGGCCTATAAAATTTCTTTACAACATGAGTCCCTATCTACAATTGTGGTATTATATTGTAAATACTTTTTATTGTCGACTTACTTATTGAAGTACTTTCTAAATGCGGCGCTAACGAAATACAGAGCGATGGGGTTGGCGCAAGAGTTGATGTAGCACAGACAAAATCCAACTATTCGCAAATAGTGCCAGAAGGCGTTGTATAATTCCTGGGACCTGGGATGGAAGTAAAAGAAGAGCATGAATGCGTGCAGGGGAGCGAAGCACACCGCAAACATCGCAACGAAAACCAATACCGTAATTGCGACTTTCTTTCTGGCTCTGATCTGAAAAAAAAAATAAATTACTGAGTCATTAATTTTTACCTTAAGAGGAGATGAATAAAAAATATGGGACTGATCTTCATTTGGAATAAAAAGAATATTTCCAAAATTATTTTATTACTGACATATTATCCCTTACTCATAATGTAGAATCCAGCATTTCAAAATTGTCACAAAATAAATTTTCTTCCCTTTCAAATTATTTATTTAGGGATAACAAAACGGTATTTTCTCTTGAATATTTTCTTCCACGCCACATCAAAGTTAACCGTCTTGCTAATTTACTGGCCAAGAAGGCAGCCAACCAAATACTTTTTGGTCCCGGACCTTCTATGGGCCTGACAAAATCGGTAGTGACAGATCTAAGTAAAGAACGTATCGTTGTGAAATTCAAAGAAAGATGAAATAAAACAAAAAAACTGCAGGAAACAAACGCTTGAACATGACTAGACGAATCTGCGCCTGGTCATAGGAATTCTGACTGGTCATTGCAAAGTACAGAAGCATCTCCATATTATGGGCTGTCAGAATTCGCACTCTGCAAGGGGTGCGAACAAGAAGACGATTCCGTCGAGTATATCCTCTACGATTGCCCAACTCTTTTATTTATTAGAAGATTTGTGCTCGGCGAGTATCGGGCGATACCAGTTGATATACACTATTGGACAAAAGTGAAGCAACTTTTATGATAAAATCAAATATTTAATTATTTAAAATAACACGATCAACCGTGAGAATCAAAATTTATGTAGTTTAAGTGGTCATAATAGGCTGCTATGATAGGTGAAATGGGATTGTTTGCAAATGTCAAATAAGTTAGTATGTAATAATTTATTTCAACAATACCCTTTATTATCGCGACTTCTATGAAAAAATTTTGTATTTCATTTAACAACTGAAAAATCACAAATATGGTTGAAGAGTTAAAACAAAATAAGAACAAATTCTTAATAATTAATAGGATATCCATTATTAGATATAACTTTTTGGCAACGGCGCGGCATTGATGAAATTAAGTTTTGGATAGTAATATCCGGCATATTAATCCAAACTTCATTAATTTTATCAATTAAGGACTGTTTATTTGGGAATCTTGTAGTCCGAATACGACGTTCAACCTCTTCCCAAAGTTTCTCAATGGGGTTGAGGTCTGGTGATTGGGCCGGCCACCTAAGAACCTGGACATTGTTCTCCTGAAACCATTCCTGAACAAGGCGAGATGAATGTTTCGGATCGTTGTCCTGTTGGAATATAAATTGCAAAGGCATCTCCCGCTGAGCATAGGGAAACATAACGTTTTGGAGTATGTCTCTGTAGACGAAGCGATCCGTAATTCCGTCTATAAAATGTAGTGGGCCTACTCTGCTCCACGAAAAACAACCCCATACAAATACACTACCTTGTCCGTGCTTTATTGTTGGCGTAACATACTTTGGGTGAAATCTCATATTAACCGGACGCCTGACACGCTTCATTTCATCAGAATTAAAAATTTTATAACGACTTTCGTCGCTAAACAATACTTTTCCCCAATCTTGCACTGTCCAGTTCAAATGTTGTTGCGCAAATTCAAGTCTGGCACGGCGATTTCTTTCAGAAACCAACGGTTTCTTGGCAGGACGTCTGCTATAAAGTTTCGCCTCAACTAATCGTCGTTGAACAGTCCTCACACTGACTTCCAGTTCGGGAATTTCAGCAATTATCCTTGGTCCTGACAACCACGGATCTCTTTGAGAAATTCTTTTGATTCTCCTATCCATCCAAAATGTAGTTTTCCTGGGCCTTCCTGATTTCGGCATTTTTTCTACATGTCCTCTTTCATTATAACGTGAAATTATTTTTGAGACACTATATTTGGGCAAGTCGAACTGTTTGGAAATCGCAATCTTACTCTTCCCTTCTAAAAAGGCGTTTACGACCATTTCTTGTACCTCCGTACAGATTCGTTTTCCTTTTGGCATATTTAATTCTGTAAATATTAGAGCTGTTAAGCTTAATTGAATTGAAAAACGTCATTTTAGAACTTTACGTGTATCATAAATAATTAAATATTTTATTTTACTATAAAAGTTGCTTCACTTTTGTCCAATAGTGTAAGTGAAGCAACTGTTGGCGACGTTGTCAACTACATTAAATCTATAGGCTGGCTCACGAGCTGGGAGATGCCTATCAGCTTAGGAGGATACAAAATGAGCCTAGTGTCGGGGGGTAACCCATCCTTCAAATGTTACAGATACACTAATAAATAGAAAATGCGGGCATTATCTTAAACTTTAAGGTTATGTTGCATATTAAAATAAGTAATATTTAAATCGTAGAGGTTATTCAACTACTCAAATGTAGACATTTTCATGAGCGAAAATAAAAATCTCGAAATCCGTACCACATAAAACATTATTTATTAACGAAATGTTAACAAAGAATTAACAAATACCTTTGTTAACATTAAGTAAATAAATGACGTTTTACATGATACTGATTTGCAGATTTTTATTTTCGCTAAGTAATATTTAATTTTTTTAAATGTATCTCATGAAAACAAATTAATTCTAGATTTATTATAAAAGATAAATTCAAGGTATAACATTAAAATGGCATTAGCTAACTAAGAGTTATTTGTAACGCTTTTTTGGATGAGTTATAAAAATTACTATTAATTATATGGCACTTATAATAGAAAATTGTTAAGCGCCTCGAGTTCGATTCATATTTCTAATATTTTTTTAGTTCGAAACAAAAATTAAATTTATGCAATTGGCTTTTTTTTTAATAAGATTATGCTAATATTACTAATGATAAAAACGATTTATTTAACATTGGTTTTGTGTCTTATAAACTAGTAAAACCGATAAAATTGACAGTAGATTTGACTTTAGAACTGTCTTGGATTTTTGATAAATATGCGGCAACTCAGAGGCTTTAGGAAGTTCTTAAATAAATTGAGATACCAAAAACCTTCGTAACAATAGCTACTCATCACAAATAAAAAACGGCGTGATTCAGGATTTTTGGATTTTTATATTTTAAGGGTTTAAAAGTGGGGAAGGAGGAGAAAGTATTGTAAAACTACATAATAAATAAAAATTATTAAATAAAAAAAAAAAATTAAAATGAATGAAAGTTAATCAAAATAAATAAAAATAAATAAAAATAAATAAAAATAAATAAAAATAAATAAAAATAAATAAAAATAAATAAAAATAAATAAAAATAAATAAAAATAAATAAAAATAAATAAAAATAAATAAAAATAAATAAAAATAAATAAAAATAAATAAAAATAAATAAAAATAAATAAAAATAAATAAAAATAAATAAAAATAAATAAAAATAAATAAAAATAAATAAAAATAAATAAAAATAAATAAAAATAAATGAAAATAAATAAAAATAAATAAAAATAAATAAAAATAAATAAAAATAAATAAAAATAATTAAAAATAAATAAAAATAAATAAAAATAAATAAAAATAAATAAAAATAAATAAAAATAAATAAAAATAAATAAAAATAAATAAAAATAAATAAAAATAAATAAAAATAAATAAAAATAAATAAAAATAAATAAAAATAAATAAAAATAAATAAAAATAAATAAAAATAAATAAAAATAAATAAACATAAATAAAAATAAATAAAAGTAAATAAAAATAAATAAAAATAAATAAAAACAAATAAAAATAAATAAAAATAAATAAAAATAAATAAAAATAAATACAAATAAATAAAAATAAATAAAAATAAATAAAAATTAATAAAAATTAATAAAAATGAATAAAAATTAATAAAAATTAATATAAATTAATAAAAATCAATAAAAATTAATAAAAATTAATAAAAATTAATAAAAATTAATAAAATTAATAAAAATTAATAAAAATTAATAAAAATTAATAAAAATTAATAAAAATTAATAAAAATTAATAAAAATTAATAAAAATTAATAAAAATTAATAAAAATTAATAAAAATTAATAAAAATTAATAAAAATTAATAAAAATTAATAAAAATTAATAAAAATTAATAAAAATTAATAAAAATTAATAAAAATTAATAAAAATTAATAAAAATTAATAAAAATTAATAAAAATTAATAAAAATTAATAAAAATTAATAAAAATTAATAAAAATTAATAAAAATTAATAAAAATTAATAAAAATTAATAAAAATTAATAAAAATTAATAAAAATTCTACAGAATACAGGTCTTTTACAGATGAAGGGCGCTTCACAATTAAACGTTCTGACAAATTTTGGTGTGGCACAGGGTCAGACGTGGTTGTTGAGAAATCATTAATGCAAACGATGAAAACCGTAGGTGGACTTACTCGTGGAAGGGTAGTCCAGGAGAGCGTACTTTCTAGGTGGACTATGAGAATGTCATTCTTGCACAATATTTGTGACGCTGTTGAAAAATTTTGCAATATAGATTTTAGCACTTTCGATCCGTATGTTAAATTAAGAAGTTTCCGGATTAATCGTGATAACAATGACGTAAAAAATAGATTGGTTTTCCCAACATTCGCCTGTCAATAAGTTGTGAAATCATTTTTGCTGTAAAAGGTACTAGTAACAAGATATCTTAAAAAAACTTATTTTTTCACAATTTATTACAATATGGCGGTGACGGCGGCAAAATTACGAGGGAGCAAAATAAAAAATCAAAAAGAGCAGTTAAAAATACATCAAATCACCAAATATTAAAACTTTCGCAAATTTTTCCAGCTAAAGGTAATATTATAGAGCACGTTATTACTAGAGTACAAGTAATATACCAGAGAAAAGCTTATATTTCCTTTTTTTTAAATACTGAAGAAGTACCACATTACTAATATAAAACAGCCCCATTCATCACTCTAAAACACCTTGTTGACAGACTTTTTTCCTACCTTCTATAAATCGTCGGATTACCAGCAAAACACACTAAGTCAGATTTGATAAAAAATCCATTAGTCACGTAATGAACAAAATAATGCCACTATGGACTTAATGATTATAAAAATAATTTAAAAATAAGGTTATTAATTGTTAGAGAATATAGTGAATTTTACCAAAGTCAAAAATAAAAAAAATTACTTATTGTGTTTTGCTTGTAAACCAACAAAATAGAAGTTAAAGTTAAAAAAAATATATTTGAATATAACAGTTAAAATTTCGTTTTACCCAACTAGTTATATAATATTTATTACAAACCTGTCTGTGCATGCCTTGCATCTCTCCAGGCACGTTTCTGGTGCTCATAATTAAAGAAGCGGCCATGCTCAAGTAAAAAATAGCGATGATAGTTAGCGGTATAACGTACAAGATGAGAAATTTACTGCCGACCATTACTTGAGGATAACTGTCGTTCAGCCAATGCGGAAACGGATAGCACACGAAAAATTGGGAATTCTCCTCGGGGATTCCCTTTATGTGGGAGGCTAGAGCGGCAGGCAGAGCACAGATTATGGCAACTATCCATATGGAGACTGCGATACAGATCGTGATGCGTGTCGCTCGTCGGCCGCCACCTGAAATAAAAAAAGGATGCTGGTGCATTAAACCGAAAAGGATTGTTTGTTTTTGTTGATAGGGACTTATTTTTAATTTACGTGTTTTCAGAAAGAACTTAAAATATGAGGACCATGGAGCAAGTAGTCTATGTAGTATGTACTAACTTCTTAATTATAATTAAGATATTTATTTTCAAAATGCAGAATATTTTTATATTTGTTTTATAGTAATATAAAACCTAAACTATTCTTGCTCCCGGGTCCTTCTATCACTAAATATTCTGAGGTTTCCGGAATCTGAGGCATTTAATAAACTCCTGAAAAACAAACTTTTACACAGTTTTGCATAAATAATTCAGATTGAAATATACGTAAATTTGTATAGCAGATCTGTAGTCGGTTCCAAGCTTTTGCGAACCTTATCAATGTTAGGTTCAGCAGTGTGGCTAAAAATATTTATCGCCAGCCGTCAATAAAGTCATGCAACAGTATAGCGATTTGCGGAAGTGAAAAACACTTTATTTAACTGTAAAAATCAAATATTTTATCTGCCGCTAATATTTATCAAAATAGCCTTGATCGTCTGACATAAATATTCTCTTAACTCATTTGTTTTGTATTCGCTGTTTTTTCTCTTTGTTTACTTTGTCATACTAAAATGTGATGTTATAATAACTTCTTTTTTATTATTTATAATTATTTACGGTCAGTGATAAAAGTTTGTATGGACCACATCAGCAAAGTGTCTTTATCGAACTTGTCTGTTACGTACCTCGCTCGGTTCTCTCGCTCGGATTTTAATCTCAGACTAGTTCCATAAAGAATACATTTGCTGAATTGGTAAATAAACACCTGTTTTTTACGTTCCACTGAGTTTGGCAGGTCATTAATGTACAACAGAAAGAGGTTGGGAACCAATACCGATCCCTAAGGAGCACCGTTATCAATAGGTAATATACTTGAATTAACATTTACGCAGTGGATATATTGCTGTCTGATTGTCAGATAGGAGCGAAATAATTTTAACTACAAGGAGCGAATATCATAGAATTCGAGTTTATTTATTAAGATGTTATGATCTACGCAACCAAAGGCCTTGCTGAGTTCACACAAAGTAACGTGTGTGTTGGTTCCTTTATCAGTTCTAGCAGTGTCTTATATGTCAGTTATTTTCGAAATCCATATTGCGCGTTCGTAAAAATATTTTTATTCTCCCAGTAACTGACCAACTTCTGTTTGATGATGATTATGAATATTTTGTACATACAGGCAGAATTGCAATTGGTCTGTAGTTGTGAATGTCATCTTAAAAGTCGGTAAAATTTTATAAATTTTAAGAGAGTCCGGCCAGTTACCTTCATCATAGAATGAAAAGGGGTTCAGCGATAATATTTAAAGATGATTTAATTATTCTACTATTCAGGTCATAGTAATTTAAAGATGCACTAATATCCATTCACGGACATCGGGTTCTAATATGGCACCCATGAAGAACGATGAAGATGGTTTCTGAAGCTTACTAGTTATTTTTTGTGAAATTTTACTACAAAATTCGTTAAAATCATCAGCATAAATTTGCTGAGATAATTTATTTTTCTTTTTTACTTTTCTATTTGATTTTACCAAGTGCCAAATTGATTTACTTTTATTTTCAGAACCATCAATTAGAGAAGAATATGTATTTTTTTTTTCTGATCTTTTAATTTTTATTTATAAGTTTTAGGAAGAGAAGTGTATGTTTCCCAATTTTCTAGAGACTTACTATTTTTAAATTTATTTTTAGAATTAAATAGTATTTTTTTTATATCTCTTAGGAGTTAATTAGACGACTTTAATTTATAATTATTTTTAAAATACCGCCGGCGGTGCTTGCATTTGTTGAAAAGAAAACCGTGTTCCGGCGGTATGGTCTTCTCACATATAAGAAAGCCGCCGAAAATCTAAACTGATTTGTTGATCAGGGCGGCATGCTATCAGTGAATTGAAAAATGCCGCCGGACGACGGTCTACTATATTTAAAACATTGATTGCCGGTGGTAAGAAAAAATACTTGTAAAATCGTCTACATTTTTGTGGAAAATGATCATATGTCGTACGCGTTTTATTTGTACATCGGTCTCCTTTTGACAGAGTAGATGAGCTGTGTCCAGGCCGTTGGTGTTTATGCCGGTCGGCGTAGTCAGGTATGGATTAAAATTTTATGGTGGCGGCGAAGCCGCCACTCTACGAGAAGTCGTTACTTCGTCTTCTTGTTGTCTTCTTGTTGTCACTGTATTATTATTATTTGTTCATGTATGTGAAATTTGTTCCTAAGGTTTATAAAATACTACTGCTAGTCACGGCGTAAATGAAAACAAATAAGACGCATTCACACAAACACCTCCCACCACAGCAGTTACAAATGATTGGTGCTGTCCCCGATACGCAATTTTTTTCCGGCGGCATTTAATGTTTCAAATACAGTATATCGTCGTCCAGCGGCCTTATCAATACTTTGATAGCCTGCCGCCCTCATCAACAAATCAGTTTAGATTTTCGGCGGCTTTCTTATATGTGAGAAGACCATGCCGCCGGAAGACGGTTTTCGTTTTATTAAATGCAACTACCGCCGGCGGTCGGCTAGCCAGTACGTTATTTTTAACTAACCGAAGTGGAACTGAAGCGCATTTAGAATATGATCTACCCATTTGAATTTAATGTTGATGCATTATAGTTGTGCCAGTTAACGTTAGCTAGATTGTCAGTAAAAATTTTAAGTTTTTTTTCATATAGAATTATTTTTTTAATAAGTGGTTTCTTGGGTTTGAGAATATTTGAAAAGGGGCATAGAGCGCAATATATACGTATAGTATACCAGCATCATAAGCACCTGGACTAATGTTGGTGATAATATTGTGTTGAGACGTCAAATCGACACTGATGTGATTCAAGTAGGTATATGCACCTTTTGTTGTTATTGTTGTTGTTGTTGTTGTTGTTGTTGTTGTTGTTGTTGTTGTTGTTGTTGTTGTTGTTGTTGTTGTTGTTGTTGTTGTTGTTGTTGTTGTTGTTGTTGTTGTTGTTGTTGTTGTTGTTGTTGTTGGACAAGAGCAAACCCTACACCATATGAAAAATCGTTATATTTATACTAAAGATAGCATGTAAAGGGTGACTCGTGTCTAACGTAGGTTTAAAATTTAGAGAAAATTAGTTTTCTATTCTTAATGTGTTTTTATTTATAAGATATAACTATATACATACTGCTTGTAGTATTTTCTTTCTCTTTTTTTTTCAACCGAATCAAACCACGTAACAAACACTCCCCCAGCCCAAGGATCCAGTCTAGCCTTCCATAATGCATCTAGCCCAGATATATACCCCCACACAAGAGCCTGAGTTGACACGAAGCCGGTGATTAGTCCAAAGTATCCAGCAAACTACTCTAAAGGCCGATGAGCGACACGAGGCCGATGAATAGCCCAAACTCCCCAGCAAACTATTATGTAGCGGCACAAGGCCGGTGATCAATCCAAACTATCCACAAATTTACTTTAAGACCGATGAGATAAAATATGGTTTTTCCGAGTTGTAAAAAGAATAACTAACTATGTACCAACCACATAGACCCTAGAACGGCTCGAACAGGGACATGCTTTCTTTCTTGAAATGTCCAGGCGACTACATAAAGTAATGTCTTCGATTCAGTCAATCACCCAGGCCATTACCTTCCAAGCAAGTAAGTAGGAACATCCAACGAAGGCGCGCTCAGTGAGCCACTGCACCATGGACCCCCCAACTGTGAAATTTCTCCCTGCAACTTTTAACCGGCTGTACCACCCAAACCTACAGTCTCCTGGCGCTAGATCCACGTCCATTAGCAGTAGAAAAGGGTGGATGTGAAAAAGAATAGACGATTGTTCGGAGTGTTTGACTGTGAGTGATACGGGACAATGTCATGCGATCATTGTAGCTGTTAATATTTTCTTCTTCCTTTCCTATCAATTTTAGGTAGAATATATAAAAATATTGTTTTCGTATTAACTAGGTAATCATTAATCGTGAGGAAGAATCCCGGGCCAGGGTTTAATTTTCAGGGAGCATGTCACGTCTTCAAGAAGCTGGGAGAATGAAATATATTTAAATTAATAATGTCTTGGTAAACTAAAAAATATCTCTCAGTTTATTTAAATCAGATAATATTAATAATAATATAAAATAAGTCTCTAAGATAATTTAAAGAGTTTATTAAACAAAACCTTGAGTTTAACAAAAATCATAGCACAGGCCCGCTATAAATCGGCTACGGTCAATGTTAGCGGGGTCAGTGGTAACTGCTTATCGATGAGTGGGATTTAAACAATTAACCAGCTCGTTAGAGTGACGTATTCTCCTACGTAATATGTTGTGGTAAGGCCCTTTTTTGTGTATATAGTTTTGTGTATCATATTATCGTTTATTCTTTACTGTTGAATAAAGTTGTTGTTCTTAATTGGATTCTTATTTCATAAAGATAGGTAGCTCAAAAATAAATACGAATAGTGATTTATTCCATCCATAAGAAAGGGGATCATGACAATGCCTAAGGCCAAACATGCTGTTTTTAAGACCGTTGCACTGTTTTTTCAGACTATCTATATCTAAGTTAACATCACCAAAGAGAACAATATTTTTGTATTTGTAAAACAGATTGGCTAGTAAATCCGCAAATTTGTTATTAAAAATCTTAATGTCAACACTACTAGATGATCTGCAGACTGAAATAATTACAAAGATATTATTGGAGATTTTTATTTGAAATACTTAAAACACTGTTCAAAAGCAGGATAAGTACCGGGTAAAAAGATTTGACAGTTTGTTACACTACGGTCTATCAGGTTTGTACTCCTGAATATTTTTCTGTGTACTTCTGGCATAAAAAAATTTATTTACGTATACTTCTTCTAGCCACAATTCAGGATTTATTATTTTTGGGACCACGCTAGCGGGCACTGAGATTTTGTAAGAAGTGTATTTCTCAGACACTCTAGAATTTTGTTTAA